TACTAAAAAAATTATGATTTCTTTTTTATTTTTTTTTTTATAATTTTTGTACATGAAAGCTCTAATAGAGAATAAGACTTAGATTGTGACGTTTTTCTTACTAGTTTTATTGCACGTGCATTAAATGCACGTAAATAATGTTTTAAACGTAAATTTTACATTCATATAAATATATAATAAAAAACAACACAAATGAATTATTAGTTCAACTAAGAGATTTTGATTATGCATCAATTTAAATATGTGAATAATGCAAATTAAGAAATTTATTATGATGATGATAATCATCATTATACACTATAGTTATAATAATAATCACATGCTAATTACCTATAATAGTGAGGGTTAGGGTTGAATTATGAGTCATTTTAGAATGGTGAAATCAAAATTAATGAAATGTAGAATATTCATTGATCAATTTCATATTGATAAATATTTTAATTATTCCTAAAATAGAAGAGGCAAGGACAATTCTATAAAAAAGGAGTGCATTCTAGCTATGCATGTAAGAATTAAGATATGTTTTACAAATAATTATGAGATTTTTTATTTAGAATTATTTCATGAAGAGCTTTAGGAGGATCTGAAATAAACACGGTTCAATATAAGCATATGACAAAAACATCAATATACAAAAATTTAGATCAGAATATTCTAACCCAGATTTAATTAATAAAGGCTTTATAATTGTCAAATTTGCTTTATGATTAATCTAAGATATAATTAATTAATCAAAATTTAAATAATGTTCATTTCAAATAAAATATAATAAATACAAAACCCATCGCTATCAGTTTTTTGTTAAATTATCTTTAAGATAGGTACAAAGATAATTAACATGAAATTTTAAAATAGATATTAAAATAAAATATGTGAAAGAAAGAAACACAACATATTATTATACATAAACGCTAAAAATAGTGTTGTGCTATGCATTGTCCTGCATTAGCATATTTTTTTTACTTGCATCAATATAAATCACCAATTCTCCTCGACTGTAAAGACTCATCAGTTAAAATCAACTGGTTTTCATTCAGCTAGCAGAATGATATATTCTAAAATGCAAAGAAAATTATAGACCTATTTTAAAATAACTCATGCCGAAACCCTTGAGATAAAAAATCAGAAACAAAGCAATAAAAAATAACAAAAATATCATAAAAAAAAAAAGATACATTATATGTGACTCAGAATTAGCATATATAACATTCTTTATTTTGTCTTTTTAAGCCCTGTAGTGAAAATTGCAAAGTTATAGTGCATTATTTTGTGATATTGGTATGAAATTGATGGATTGTCCTTGAGCTATTTTGCGTTCAAGGACAAAACATAAGTAATAAGCAAGCATATGAGGCATGATAATCAACTGGAGAAATCAAATGAAAAGAATAAAGAGAACAAACAAACTTATATAAGCTTGTAAGGATGTAAATCATGATAATCATATGCAGTGGTCATATTTGCCCTCAACAAGATCACAATATGCAAAAAGCTGTTCATGATCATATTAAGGATATCGTACAATTACACTCAGCTAGCCTCTAATTCAGCCACAAAAGTGAGAAGCACAGGAGGCCAAAAACTGGTTGAGCAGCCGATAGGTAGGCAGCAGAATTATGGATAGAGTCCTTGCAACAGAATATTGAAGTAAAATGATTTCAAAATGACTCCCAAAAAAAATGTTTATTGCAGAATCTGAATGGAAAATAAAAAGATACAGCAAACCAGGAAAAGCATAGTGCAGCTCTTCAAAATAAAAAGTCATTAAATAATGAAAATAGATTTAAGCATCTTATCCTCGAGCGTCCTCTCGAGTCCTTCCAGCATCGAGAAAGTGGTCAAAGGTGACTCCGTGGAAACAACCCTCGCCACAATCTCATGAGGTGGAAGCATCTCATCTTCTTCAATATCCTCAGCTTTCCTCACATCGCCATCAAGATCCTCCCATCCTCTCCTTGCCCTCGGTGGCACGATGGGCACGTTTACCTGTGCGGATTAGTAGTAGATCTGACCTCCTGGAACTGACATTGCGTACACCGTCTTCGGCTTCAGAATCACTGGAATCATCCGTGCAGAGGGAGAGGGCGAAGAAGGTGACGCAGCGGTAGAAGATGATGATGGGGATAAATTTTGTTATAAGGAAGAGGACAGTTTTCTTCTTCCGGTAGGGTGGCGAGTATTCTGAAATTGCACACAAATTAAAAAAAAAAAGCAACAACCAAGATTGTTTAATAGCAGAATCACAAGCTGCTTTGGTATACGAAGAGTAGCGAACATGGTAACGGATAGGATGTGAAATGAAGGGTAATGAATGAGCTAAAAGAAGACGAAAAGCAATACTTTATGATGAAGGGTTATAACCGAAAGGATGCGAACCTGAGGGTAAGATGAAGAGTGAGCTATTGTTGGAAGAAGAACCGACTATGAAGAGTCAAAACGGAGGAGAAATATACGAAGAGTCGTGGTCCCGTGGAGCGTAGGAACTCGCGTGAGCTATGTTAATTTTTATAACTATTTTATTAGGTGTATTTAAGGGTATTAATTTATATAATTATTAGATATTTTTTGATTTATTAATAATTTATAATATAATGAATGGACAAGATAATTTTAAAAGAAA